CGGCAGGGGGGGCCCCCGCAAGAAACACCAAAACACGCCATTGTTAGGGCTGACGCCCTAGGTGTGAGGCGTAGCCAGTCACTGCCGTCTCGTCTACCGGGAGGCTTTACCCTCCCTCACCGTTCTGTGGAGACGCTCGGTCGGGGACCTCGGTCGAAGCCTCGGGTTTAGGGTTTAGGGTTTAGGGTTTAGGGTCTAGGGTTTAGGGTTTAGGGTTTAGGGTTTAGGGTTTAGGGTTTAGGGTTTAGGGTTTAGGGTTTAGGGTTTAGGGTTTAGGGTTTAGGGTTTAGGGTTTAGGGTTTAGGTTAGGGTTTAGGGTTTAGGGTTTAGGGTTTAGGGTTTAGGGTTTAGGGTTTAGGGTTTAGGGTTTAGGGTTTAGGGTTTAGGGTTTGGGGCTAGGGTTTGGGGTTTAGGGTTTAGGGTTAGGGTTTAGGGCTTCGGGTGTAGGGTTTAGGGTTTAGGGTTAAGGTTTAGGGTTTATGGTTAGGGTGCAGGGTTTAGGGTTTGGGGTCCCTGAACCCGTCTATATATCTCTTTTCTTTACTTTATTTGCTCTTTGATTTTTTTGGGGGGGAGGGGGAGGCCCAACAATAAAGGGAGTGGTTCCTTTCAGGCTCACTCCCAAAGGGTTTGGCTTAGGGTTTAGGGTTTAAGGTTTAGGGTTTTGGGTTTTAGTTGAAGATTTAGTGTTCAGGGTTCAAAGTTCAGAGTTCAGGCTCTGGGAGCAGGAGGAAGGGGGGGTGGGCTGAGCTCCTGCCTCGTCACCTCGGCGCACCTGCCAGGTCAAGGCTTTCCCTTCGCTTGTCTTGAAAACGTGGGGGGGAGGGGGGGGAGGGACATGCCGCACCTTCAGCTCGATGAGCTTCTTATCTTGCATTATGATGTTCTTATGCTTTTCGGTCGGTTACTCTATCTTACGATATTGTATTATAATGTGCTTAACCTATTCAGTCTTTTCTACTGCAATACTATTTCTGTCTTATTGAAGAAAAACTGTTGTATGGTGATACTTCGGTACTACTATATTGTTATATTAATGTGTCTGAAAATACTTACATTGTTATATGGTTATATTGTTCTATTTTATAATGTTATATTGTTATATTTGTTAATTTGTTATCTTGTTATATTGTTATATTGTTATTTTGCTATATTGCTATATTGCTATATTGTTATATTGTTATATTGTTATATTGTTATATTGCTATATTGTTACATTGTTATATTGTTATATTGTTACATTGTTGCATTGTTATATTGTTATATTGTTATATTGTTATATTGTTATATTGTTATATTGTTATATTGTTATATTGTTATATTGTTATATTGTTATATTGTTATATTGTTATATTGTTATATTGTTATATTGTTATATTGTTATATTGTTATATTGTTATATTGTTATTTTTTATATGGTTATATTGCTATATGGTTATATTGCTATATTGTTATATTGTTATGCTGTTATATTGTTGTATTGTTATACTGTTATATTGTTATCTCTGTTATACTGTTATATTGTTACATTCTGTACGAGAGGTTTTCTTCAAAGTAAGGCCCCTCGTGGGTTCATATGATAATGCGGAGCCTTCTGGGGTACCCATCAGGGGGGGCCTAATTTAAAGAGCTCCCCAGATGCGGTAGGGTTTAGGGTTTAGGGTTTTGGGGCTTAGGGTTTAGGTGTAGGATATAATCCCTACAGGAGGATTGGGTTCTCTGGCTTCTTCGTATGGGTAGACGTCAACGTCCTTTGCTGGGGGAACCCAATGACCAATGTTGTGAAGAGGGCCGGCGGCCTTCTGGGAGCAGGATGTCGAGTTCAGCACCTGCGTACACTGTGAAGCCCCGAGCATTCGCAGCTTGCAAGCAAGGCTTTAGGCTTTCGGGTTTAGGGTTTAGGGCCTCTCCTTCCTGCAAACGCAAGGTAAACCGCGACCAAGCGCCCCCTCTCCCGCTTGTCATCCACGCCATCGACCTCCATGATGGGTTGCTCTGAAGAAGCTACTCGAATATGGACATTGTAGTGCGGTTGCCTTCTAAACTGCAACCCTACACCCTACACCCTACAGCCTAAACCCTAAACCCTAAACCCTAAACCCCAAACCCTAAACCCTAAACCCTAAACTAAAGTTCCTCACAGCAACCCACTGGTCCCCTTTATGCAACAGACGGGCGCGCCTCCACTCGAAAGCCGGGCATGGCGTCCACCGCACGTACGCCCTGCGCTTTTCGGGCCCTTTGATGTTGAGGGTTTAGGGTTTAGGGTTTAGGGTTTAGGGTTTAGGGTTTAGGGTTTAGGGTTTAGGGTTTAGGGTTTAGGGTTTAGGGTTTAGGGTTTGGGGGTTGACGGTTTTAGGGTTTAGGGTTTAAGGATTTAGGGCTTAAGGGTTTAGGGTTTAAGGGTTTAAGGGTTTAGGGTTTGAGGGTTCCCTGAAGGACTTGAGGGTCTGATTAAAGGTTCTTAGAGGGACTTCGGTCTTACTTGAGGCCTTCCCTGGCGTTTCTAAGGTTTAGGGTCTAGGGTTTAGGTTTAGGTTGTTGGGGCGCTTGGTGCTTTCCTGATAACGGAGCACATCACCGGGTCACTAGCTCCAAGGTTTCAAGGTGCCGCCGGTTCGATGAAGACCCCGGTTAGGGTTGGGGTTTGGGGTTGAGGGTTTCAGGGTTTCAGGCTTGAGGTTCAGGCTTATCGCAAGGTGCTTCCCTGGAAAATGCATGCCCAAAGGCCTCCCAGGCGGACTCGTCAAGTGGCGACGTCAATGTGGTTAGGCCTCTAGGGTGTAGGGCTTACAGGGCGTAGGCATAGGTTCCACGCAACCCCAACCCCCGACAGTGTTCGAGGTTGGGGGGAGGAAGCTAACGGGGTGGTTGGATGGGAGTGAAGGTGAGCTTCAGAGTTTTATGTTGTGTGGGGGGGGGCGGGGACGGGGGGGGGTTGGGGGTTGGGGATTTGGGGTGTAGGGTTAGGGTTTGGGGTTTAGGTTTAGGGTGTTTAGGGCTGAGGATTTAGGGTTTAGGGTTAGGGCCGGGGTGGGTCCTCCAGTCAGGCCCGAAGACATAACCAAAGACAACTCAAAAAAATATAACTATGGAGTGGTTGTTGTTATGAACTACGGTGGGTCCGGGAATATGTGAACTCCCTGACACACCCTGAACCCTAAACCCTAAACCCTAAACCCTAAACCCTCAACCTTAAACCCCACACCTGCCTCCCTTCCCGGACTTTGCAGCCGCGGAGATCAGCGCCAGCGTCAGGCACAGCGCTCGCAACATACCGTGGGCACACCTGGCAAGAGAAGGGCGGAGGGTTTTGGGGTTTAGGGTTTAGGGTTTAGGGTTTAGGGTTTAGGGTTCAGGGTTTAGGGTTTAGGGTTTAGGGTTTAGGGTTTAGGGTTTAGGGTTTAATTAGGGTTTAGGGTTTGATTGAAGGCTTTATTTAGGGTATCATCTAGGGTTTTTAGGGTTGAATTCCTGTCTCACGTGAACCCTGCACCGAAAAAACCCTAGGGTTTTGGGGACAGGGCAGTTGCTCCACTGGGTGTTTAGGGCCCGCAGTGTCTTTAAAAGCAGGGCTTTTCACAACAGGGAATCCGAAGTATGGACCCTTGATTCGCCTCGGCTTCCTGCCGAGAAACGTTTGGAACAAGCAGACCCGGATCCGGTCTCCTTCCCCCTCCCCCCAAACCAGATTTTGTGACGCACCCCCCCCTGCCCTGTGGGCCCCCCCACCCCGTCGCTTGGAGGAGCTGCTCCCGTTGTGGGCGGCTCATGCACGACTTTTGGAACGTCGGGGACCTGGATGCCTGAGACCTTTTCTGGGAACCCCCCCTCCTTTTTTGCAGGCCTTTCCCAGCGAGGCGGCGCGCGCAAGCGTTTACAATTAGGTCCCCTTGATATATACTCCTTATGTACACTGTACATTATAAGGGCCCATACTTCGTTCGGATCCCTTTAGATCCCTTGAAACAACCAGACGAAGGGCCCATGGTTCCAAACCTTAGATTTCACGGGCCCGAGCCTGGGTTTCGGGGTTTAGCTTGAGGGGGGTTCGGTTTAGGGCTTTAGGGGTGTTTAGGGTTCAGGGTCTTAGGAGCTATAGGGTTTAGGGGTTTAGGTTTGGGGCTTTAAGGTTTTGGGGGTGTCTAGGCCTTGTTGGGGATCTTCGAGCTTCCCGAGCCCGCGAAACTTGCAGCTTTGCTGCACATTTGTGAGTACGGATTCCCCCTTTTGAGGGTTTAGGGTTAGGGTTTAGGGTTTAAGGTTTAGGGTTTAGGGTTTAGGGTTTAGGGTGTAGGGTTTAGGTTTAGGGTTTAGGGTTTAGGGTTTAGGGTTTAGGGTTTAGGGATTAGGGTTTAGGGTTTAGGGTTTAGGGTTTAGGGTTTAGGGTTTAGGGTTTAGGGTTTAGGGTTCAGGGTTCAGGGTTCAGGGTTTAGGGTTTAGGGTTTAGGGTTTGGGGTTTAGGGTTTAGGGTTTAGGGTTTAGGGTTTAGTTCTCGCAAAGATCCATCAGTTTGAAGGACCTTTCGAACAACCTCCGAACAGTTGGGCTGTAAAGCTGGGGATTCAGGGCACCGGCTTCCCATATCTTCTTAAGGACGAAATGAACCCTAGACCCTGGAAGGGTTTCTGCTCCATATACTCTTTTTGGGATCAAAGTAGCACAGGGAAAATGACCCCAATTTTAGGGTTCGTTTGGTCCTTAAGGCACCCCCCCCCGCCCTCCCTCCCCGCAGCAAGGGCACCGGCGGGTGCTCACAGAGGCGTAGGAAAGGCACAGAAGGCTGTGTCTGGAAAGCCGAGACGCACTTGCAACGAGCGGCGTCAAGTCAAGGACCGAGCCGCAACTGAACAATAAGTTGACAAGTGTCCTAGATCCCTAAACCCTAAACCCTGAACCCTGCACCGTAAACACTAAACCCTAGACCCTAAACCCTAAGCAGCGGCGGTAAACCTTTGAGACCCAACCCCGACGTCCCCCATGCACACTCAGCTCCTGTCGGGCATCTTCAGCTTGCTCATGTCCTGCCCAGGTATTTCCACTTTGAGGCTGAAAACCCTCAACCCCAAGCCCTAAACACTAAGCCCTAAACCCTAAACCCTAAACCCGGGACCCTAAACCCTAAACCTTAAACCTTAACCCCACCCCCAAAACGAGGAGCTCCGAAGCCAGAAGCCCTCCGGCTGGTGACAGAGCGGACCCAGCCGGTCGCCGCCCCTACCTTAAACCCGCACAAAGGTCAAGACGAGGGTGGGGCAAGCAGGGTTTTAGCACCAGCGCTCCCTGTCAATGAGACACCCCAAACCCTAAACCTCTAGTAAGGTGCTGTATACTGCCCGAAACCCCAACTAAACCCTGCATACCCTCAACCCGAAAGCTGGAATCCCCCCGGAATGGAGCGGCATTCCCTCCACCCACAGAAGCCCAAAACCCTACAACCCCAACCGCAAGAAGCGCTAGATCACTTGAAGGTTCTTGTGTTTAGCACCTAGTACACCCCACCCCCGCCCCCCCCCTTCCATCCCCCCCCCTCCAGAAAAAGATACATTAAACCTAAACCCTACTATGGTGACACACACACACACAACCCAACCACCTTTTGCGCAGGCTTCCGTGATCCGTAGCCAAAAGAAACCACCACACCGCGGGGCACGTGGCGAAGAACGAACTTACGGCTGACATTACTTGCTGGCTCGTTAAAAGGGGGGTTTAGGGTTTAGGGTTTAGGGTTCAGGGTTCAGGGTTTAGGGTTTAGGGTTTAGGGTTTAGGGTTTAGGCTTTAGGGTGTAAGGTGTAGGGTGTAGGGTGTAGGGTGTAGGGTGTAAGGTGTAGGGTGTAGGGTGTAGGGTGTAGGGTGTAGGGTGTAGGGTGTAGGGTGTAGGGTGTAGGGTGTAGGGTGTAGGGTGTAGGGTGTAGGGTGTAACTAGGGCTCCTTAGGGAATGAGGTACCCTATATCCCCCTATTGTATGTAGGGTACGTAATTCCCCTTTTCCCTACTAAGAACCTGGGGCATTCGGGTCTGCCTTGCATCCACAAAAGCAGACACCCACTTCAATTGATCACCAAACTTTGTAAGGAACCAGGCACTCACCAATAACTGCAATGCACGCCCCTTAACCTTAAAAACCCTGAAGGCCCCATAGACCTCAGAATGTGCCGGCGGCGGACTTGAAAGATGCGTGTGGCAGGCCGTCAACACCTAGGACCCTGAAACCCTCAACCCCTGCAAGTTTGGAAAGAACAGGGCGTTTTGCAGATCTCGGACTTTTCGGTTGAACTGCCATTGGGGGTAGGGGCTCAGGGGTTTAAACTCTAAACCCTAAACCCTAAACCCGAATGGTGAAGCCCTATGTGCCCCGCCCGCATCCGTCTCCAAAGGAGTTCCCCAGATTTGCGGCCCAAAACACTCAGGGCACTGGCGTCTGCAGCCCCACACCCGAAATTACAAGGAACTTAGGGCTTGGTGTTTAGGGTTTAGGGTTTAGGGTTTAGGGTTTAGGGTTTAGGGTTTAGGGTTTAGGGTTTAGGGTTTAGGGTTTAGGGTTTAGGGTTTAGGGTTTTAGGGTTTTGGGTTCAGAGTTTAGGGTTTAGGGTTTCGGGTTTAGGGTTTTAGGGTTTTAGGTTTGGGGTTCAGGGCTTAGGGTTTAGGGTTTCGGGTTTCGGGTTTAGGGTTTAGGGTTTAGGGTTTAGGGTTTAGGGTTTAGGGTTTAGGGTTTAGGGTTTAGGGTTTAGGGTTTAGGGTTTAGGGTTTAGCCCCCGAATGTCTGGAGACTCCTTTGGAAAACATCACCCAGCTCAGGCCGCCCTAGAGCCGCCCTCAAACCCCCTAAACCCTAAACCCTAAACCCAAAACCCTAAACCCTAAACCCAGGGCTCAAGCGGCAAGGCCCTAGGGACGGTGGCGACCTCAAACGAGCGGGTGCCAGGCCTCGCTCTCCTGCTCCAGCTTACTTTGGGCATGTCCCATCTTATTTGACCTTATCTTATGCTATATCTTGATACGAAATACATATATATATATACATATATAAAACCCTAAACCCTAAACCCTAAACCCTAAACTCTAAACCCTAAACCCTAAACCCTAAACCCTACACCCTAAACCCTATATCAAGTAACCCTTGTCCATATCCCCAAACAAAAAAGGAAGAGCGTGCCCCCTAAATGTTGGGAGCACGTCCAAAGGGTGTCCATGGGATGCTCACAAGACCACCCCGGGGAGCTGTCATTTAGGGTTTAGGGTTTAGGGTTTAGGGTTTAGGGTTTAGGGTTTAGGGTTTAGGGCTTGGGGTTTAGGGTTTAGGGTTTAGGGTTTAGGGTTTAGGGCTGTCAGCTGGTTTTTCTGAGGAGACATCAGAGGCCCGAGGAAGATCGATTCTGTTGCATGCGCCTTAGGCCTTGGGACAGAGAAAGTCTGTCCCTTCTTGCAGGAGACGTGATAAAGTCGGGGGAGAAACTAGGGCTTGAGGGTTTAGGGTTTAGGGTTCTTAGGTTTTAGGGTTTAGGGTTTAGGGTTCAGGGTTCAGGGTTTAGGGTTTAGCTTCAGCGGGGATCCATCCAGCAAGATCAGATGTCGAATTCATCACAAAAGTCAAACAGCTGCTCACGCTTTCAAGGAAAAAGCCTTCAACTGATGAAGAGCTTGAGGGATTTATCGGTTTTTAGGGAACGTTTCCGCACGCACGTCCAGAACCCCAAGCCTACACCCTTTCAAGCTTCCGCATACGTTGAAGGCCCCACCCGAGTCGCGGCCCAGTCTTGCGAAACAAGCCGCAGCTGGACCTTTCAAGCCTCTTAGGGTACTTACATGGTCCCTGAATACGGGCCCTTAAATGGGGGGCCTCTTTTGGGTTTACCAGCTTCTCACGAGTTGAGGTTTCCAAGAGTTGAAAATACCCAAGTTCTCGTGAGTGTTGAAGAGACTCAGGGCAGTTACATGGCCCCTTAGTATGGGCCCTTTAGAAGGGTACACCCTATACAACCACAGGCTCCAAGGGCCCACATATCAGAAAGCCTTTAAAGGAGGTAAGGGACCATCTTAAGCGCCCATGGAACGACCCATAGAAAGAAATCCCGGAACTGTGGGGGAGGAGATCCCTGCAACATAAAGCCCTCCTGAACCCTGAGCCCAAACCGCGAACCCTGAACCCGAAACCCCGAACCGAAACCCCGAACCCTCACCCTAAACCCTGAACCCTAAACCCTAACAATTAATACTACGTTTGGGATTTCCGGCTTCAGCTGCTCTGGGCACTCAGTAGGTAGGGGATTTTGGGGGATGTTAGTGGATTTTCGGAGATGTTTAAGAGATTTTAAGGGATGTTAGGGGATTTTAGGGGGAGTTTGGGTGATTTTAGGTGATTTTAGGGGATTTTAGAGATTCTAAGGGGCTTTTAGGGGATTTGGTGTTGGGTTTTGGGGCTTTTCGGGCGCTGAACCCTCCAATCGGAAACAAACCCAAATACCCTCTTAGTTCAAGCACCACTCCTATACACACGAGCCTGAACAAAATCCTAAACCACCATTAGCCCCAAAACCAACAAGCCAACAAACTTGCAAACCAGTCGCTGCGAAGCACCGCCCTCACCCTAAACCCTAAACCCTAAACCCTAAACCCTAAACCCTAAACCCTAAACCCTAAACCCTAAACCCTAAACCCTAAACCCCACCAGAAAGTTAGGTCCTCGAGCCGAAACCGCAAACCCGGTCTTGGTCGACGTTTCTCAGCCGCTCGGCACCCTGAAACCCTGAAACCCTAAAACCCTAAGCCCTAAACCCTAAACCATAAACCCTAAGCCCTAAACCCTAAACCCTAAACCCTAAACTCCTAAGCCTTGCTGGCTCCGGGGCAACCCCTCCTCTGCTTCGTCCTCTGCGGCTCACCCCAAAATCACGAAGAATGATTGTCTACACAGAGCTGGCCTCAGGTCAGCTCTTGGTTGCCGCCTTTCCCAGCACTCAAGCCCACGACCATCTATCTACAGGGGGTCCGTTGCAGCCCTGTACCACCACATCAGGCTTCGTGAGGCGCTACAACTCGGGAACTCCACGCCGCAACAGAAGGCCCCCGCTCTAGAGGACGAAAGGCCAGCCAGTAAGATCCTGTTAACCTGCGAACTCCTAAAAAAATCTACCCAAAAGATCCTCTTGGGCCTTCAAGCACGCTCCTAAACCCTGGCACCCTGAAGTAGGACCTTCTTTAGGCTCAATGGGGCGTGTGGGGCTGAGGCTGGATTGAGCGGTGGAAAGGAGACGATTTTCGATGTCTGTGAAAAAATGCTAATGCGGCAAAACTCCGACTCGGAAACTGGAACCGAGACCCCAACCCCACGTTTCTAAGGGTAGTTTCAGGGTCCCTTAGTAGGGGCCCTTGAAAGGTGACCCCTTCGGGTTTAGGGTTTAGGGTTTAGGGTTTAGGGTGTAGGGTTTAGGGTTTAGGGTTTAGGGTTTAGGGTTTAGGGTTTAGGGTTTAGGGTTTAGGGTTTAGGGTTTAGGGTTTGGGGTTTGGGGTTTAGGGGGTATATAAGGGGTATATAAGGGGTATATAAGGGGTATATAAGGGGTATATAAGGGGTATATAAGGGGTATATAAGGGGTATATAAGGGGTCCCCTGTTACGGGCCCAGATTAAAGGACCATGTAACTAGGCTATTAAACCCCACATTCACGGATGCAGTCCCGAAAGTCTGTGGACTCTAACCCCTCCTTTCGCATTCGTAAGAGTCTCTCAGTCGCAGCCTTCTTATGGAGTCGGGTGCACCACAAGGAGCCCAATAGCGCTGGCTTAAACTCGGAAATCTTGACAAGCTGGTGCATATTCAAGCTCCATACTACTGGGCTCCCTGGATACGCCGCAGCACGGATTCCCACCCAGTCAGGGAGCGAGCTCGAATCCATTTTAAAAGCACAGGCTCTTCCCGCATGCCGGCTGGCAGAGCAAGAGACAAGGAGCAAACCCTTCGACGCAGTATCAGACCATGAGGCCATGAAAGGCGAGACCGATTCTATTCGCCTTAAAGGACC